GAAAAGTGCTGAAAAAAAATGGAAGATGGAAGCATTTCCCATCTTCCAGGTGACTGTGATTCAGCAACTGTTTTCCTGCCACTTCTTCCAGCTGAAAAATATTTGAAACATCAGATCATGCACTTCGTACTGATATAAAGGGTCCGAGTCATCCATTTATTAAAAGAAAATTTGAAAATGTGAAGCCATGGGCTTGTCTAGCCCTTGTGCTCCCTGAGTCTGTCCAGGCTGCGATATGGACAGGCTTTCTGTGGCTACAGAAGGCAACACTGATAACAAATTAGGTGCAGAACACAAGAGTGCAGGCTTGAACACATATTTAAATGAAGCTCTTCAAACATGAAGTCACTAGCGCCAGGAATTCAAACCCACAGTACGTCCGCTTCATTGGAAGTCTGCATTAAGGTTAAGAATTTAAACACAAACATCAGGGCAATCCAAAGTAAAGATGCTCACACCAAGGGGAACTAAGTCACACTGATGTCTGAAGTATTCTGTATACCCATTTCGGCTTTTAAGCTGATTGCTGTAGGTACAATGAATCAGAGCATAACCTCAGCTCAAGTAGGATGGAAAATGGAGTTTCCCCTTGTGTATGGGAGTCCCCAGGAGGTGGCAGCAAGCCAGTGTGGAGGTACACCGTCCAATCCTGCCAATATGGAGCATATGGGGAGAGCTAACGGCATGGCTAGAGCATGCACCTCACCAACAAATTTGGGGCTGTTATTACCACGTTAGAGCAAGCCATTCAGTGTGCCCTGCGATCAAGCTATCTATGCTGCCCCCATGTGTACCGACTGGAGTTCTGGGACATCTAAGCTGGCCTAAGACGTGGACAACTTATTGTAGCTGTAGGAACCATAATTATGAATGTCTTGACTATTGTGCATTTCAATTCCCAATCTTAAGGCTCTATTCATAAAGATTTTTGCACTGAACTTAATGTGCTTTTTAAATGATGTTAAAGTAAAAGGAAAAAGCTAAACTAAACTATACTAGCCAGCCAATCTGCACACATGTTATATACAGCTGCTGAGGAAGGAAGAAGAAAACAAAATTAAAGCATCACCAAAAATAGATACAAATCACTTAAAGAAGAGCAAGCAATGTGCAAGCGTATTGTTAGTGCTTAAACAACAACTCAACAGTGTCTTACTTGTGTTCCCAGTGTGTTGCTGCATTGTTTATTCTCTTTAGCTGAACTGCTGGCCTGTACTGCAGAAGTAGATGAAGCATTTATTGAGGAATCCTTTGCTTCGCATTTTAACAGAAGCTTATGAGTTAACTGCTTTTGGCTTGACTCTGTTAAAGAGAAAATAATAAGAAGCCGTGACTCAACACTGTAGAGGTAACTAGAAAGCAGTTGCTTTATTATGGGAGAAGGGGCGATTCTCAGCAAGAACTGCCTGATCATTTGCAATCTTTAAAAGCTTTCCCTAAAAAACATGCACTGTGCACCTAGTGAGTGCACAAATGTCTGGGCCTTCGAGAGACAGCTCGAATAGGGGGCCAAAGGTCCTTGAAGTCCAGAGCAGCCAGTGACCAAAAAGGAAATGAAAATGGTTGGGAGTGCATTCTTTTTTAATACCCTTCAGGCTCAAATATTTGTGCTCACAAGGGGACACCCGCAAGCAGGGCTGGTGCAAGGATGTTTCGTGCCCTAGGTGAAACTTCCACCTTGCGCCCTCCCCGCTCCCCGAGCCCAGCAGCAGCTCCCCGCCCCCCTGCCCTGAGGCACCCGGCCCAGGGAGCCGTGCGGCAGCTCCCACCCAGCTCACTTCTGCTCCACCCCCTCCCTGAGCCCTGTGGCAGCTCCCTCCCCTCCTCCGCCCTGAGGCACCCCCTCCCCGCAGCAGCTCCCCACCCACCCCCCCAGCCCGGGGAGCCGTCCGGCAGCTCCCCACCCCAGCTCATCTCTGCTCTGCTTCCTCCCCGAGCACGCCATCGTTGCTCCACTTCTCCCGCCTCCCAGGCTTGCGGCGCCAATCAGCTGTTTGGCGCCGCAAGTGTGAGAGGGAGAGAAGCAGAGCGAGACGGCGTGCTCAGGGGAGGAGGCGGAGCAGAGGTGAGCTGGGGTGGGGAGTTCCCCTGCATGCCGCCCTCCCCCCCCTTACTTGCTGCAGGCGGCCCTCCCCACGCCCCCCTGCCCCAGCTCCCTCCGCCTAAATGCCGACGACGACCGGGGTGGCTGAAGATCCGGCCGCTGCGGTCGCCGCCGAAGCAAATGCCGCCCCCCAAATGCTAGCGCCCTAGGTGACCGCCTCGGTCACCTAATAGGTTGCACCGGCCCTGCCCGCAGGACCCCAACAATCAATCACTCATTTACAGAAGATTCCAACCTAGCAGCATGAGGGGATGCACACAACGCAAAGTGTGGATCTACACAGCCAAACCTCAAAGGCAGTGCGCTTTAGTTTTTGTACATGGACTGTAGTCAGGAGCTGAACTTTTTCCTTTTAAAGATATGCTAATTATTGAGTGATTTCCAAAATCAGTCAGAACAAAACACGAGGCTGCGCTTCCTCCTGTATTTTCAATACCTGCATATTTCCAAGCTTGTATACAGGCCTACTAGACATCGTTGTATTTGCTACATTAATTGGTAAGAAGCAACTTACCAGTTTGATTTCTGCTGCTATCAATATCCAAACTAAGTACTGAAGAAGTCCCTTTATCTACTGCATAGTTCTTCATTGTATTCTCCCTACAGCTGCAACAGAAAAGAGATTTACCAGGGTTAGATGTGGAGTAATATGAGTAAGAGTGGCAAAATCGGGCCCTGCGACTGTACCCAAATGTAATAGGATTTTAATACCCTGTTTACATCCCTTTTCTTCCTCAAAATGTCATTTCCTACCAGTTACATTTTACAAAGAATACCCCCACCCTCTGGATGCAAGTACAAAAAAGAAAAATATGACTGGTTTAAAGGGCATGCCATAGCTACCAAAAGTCTCTGATCTACCACGTTCTCTTCTACCACTGTCTATCCCAGCATAGAAGAGTGACAGTTTTCTTAGGGCTGATCTACTCAAACATTTAGCTCCTGGCAATCTGGGGTGTAAATCTACCCCCACCCCCATACTAACTATTTCTTAGAGTGCTTTGATCCAGTCCCGTTTCAAAGTGGGGTAGATCAAAGCACACTAAGGAACTGTTAGTGTGCATCAGCAGGGTCCACAAACAGTTCCTTCGTGTGCTTTCATCTACCCTGCCTTGCCACGGGACTAGGTCAAAGTGCACTAAGGAACTGTTAATGCTTGTCTACATAGTGCCCTAGTGTATGCCAGTTGGGGTATAAATTCTAGCACACATAAGCATGTTGCATACTAACTGGCTGCGTGGACCCTCCTGGCATGCACTAAAAGTTCCCTAAGTGCACATGGACATAGTACTGTTCGAAATACCATCATGCACTGAGGAACTTTTAGTGAGTGCCACCAGGGTCCACATGGCCAGTTAATGTGCGACACTCTGGTGCGCACTAGACTTCACACCCCAGCTAGTGCACTG